AAATTCCATCAATCATTACCTGATGATGATGATGAAAAAAAGTTTGAATTAACAAAGCAGTAGATGTTATCTTCAGCTGGCATCCAGATTCGGGCCTTTTAGTGTAAGTAGTCCGTGTTGAAATAATGGGATGGGTTGGTTGAGGGATATAGGTGGGGGGGAGAGGAGTGATACAGAAAAGGGGTGAATGATTAGGAGAAATTGGTATGTTTTTCTGATTCTGATCAGTCTAGAAGGTAAATTAAAGGATTAGAGTAATTTATTGTGCAAGGGCGTCCCAGCAGGCAGAGTGAGGTATCCATAAGCTTAGGGACAGTTAACTTTGGCTCATTCATTTAGAACAATGTTAAAATACAAGTGGTGGCCAATAGCTTAAAAATATATACACTAAAAAAGGTTATCAAAATTGAGGAAAAAAAAAAAAATAAAAAATAAATATATATATACATGGGGCAAAAAAGTATTTAGTCAGCCACCAATTGTGCAAGTTCTCCCACTTATAAAGATGAGAGAGGCCTGTAATTGGCATCATAGGTAAACCTCAACTATGAGAGACAAAATGAGAAAAAAAATCCAGACAATCACATTGGCTGATTTGGAAAGAATTTATTTGCAAATTATGGTGGAAAAATAAGTATTTGGTCACCTACAAACAAGCAAGATTTCTGGCTCTCACAGACCTGTACCTTCTTCTTTAAGAGGCTCCTCTGTCCTGCACTCATTACCTGTATCAATGGCACCTGTTTGAACTTGTTATCAGTATAAAAGACACCTGTCCACAACCTCAAACATCACACTCCAAACTCAACTATGGTGAAGATCAAAGAGCTGTCGAAGGACACCAGAAACAAAATTGTAGACCTGCACCAGGCTGGGAAGACTGAATCTGCAATAGGCAAGCAGCTTGGTGTGAACAAATCAACTGTGGAGCAATAATTAGAAAATGGAAGACATACAAGACCACTGATAATCTCCCTCAATCTGGGGCTCCACGCAAGATCTCTCACCCCGTGGGGTCAAAATGATCACAAGATCAGTGAGCAAAAATCCCAGGAACACGCGGGGGGACCTAGTGAATGACCTGCAGAGAGCTGGGACCAACGTAACAAAGGCTACCATCAGTAACACACTACGCCGCCAGGGACTCAGATCCTGCAGTGCCAGACGTCTGAAGTTTGCTAGAGAGCATTTGGATGATCCAGAAGAGGATTGGGAGAATGTCATATGGTCAGATGAAACCAAAATAGAACTGTTTGATAGAAACACAACTCGTCGTGTTTGGAGGAGAGAGAATGCTGATTTGCATCCAAAGAACACCATACCTACTGTGAAGCATGGGGGTGGCAACATCATGCTTTGGGGCTGTTTTCTCCGCAAAGGGACCAGTACGACTGATCCATGTACAGGACAGAATGAATGGGGCCATGTATCGTGAGATTTTGAGTGCAAACCTCCTTCCATCAGCAAGGGCATTGAAGATGAAACGTGGCTGGGTCTTCCAACATGACAATGATCCCAAAACTTACGGAGTGGCTTCGTAAGAAGCATTTCAAGGTCCTGGAGTGGCCTAGCCAGTCTCCAGATCTCAACCCCATAGAAAACCTTTGGAGGGAGTTGAAAGTCCGTGTTGCCCAGCGACAGCCCCAAAACATCACTGCTCTAGAGGAGATCTGCATGGAGGATGGGCCAACATACCAGCAACCGTGTGTGCCAACCTTGTGAAGACTTACAGAAAACGTCTGACCTCTGTCATTGCCAACAAAGGATATATAACAAAGTATTGAGATTAACTTTTCATATTGACCAAATACTTATTTTCCACCATAAATTTGCAAATAAATTCTTTCCAAATCAGCCAATGTGATTGTCTGTATTTTTTTTTCTCATTTTGTCTCTCATAGTTGAGGTCTACCTATGATGCCAATTACAGGCCTCTCTCATCTTTTTAAGTGGGAGAACTTGCACAATTGGTGGCTGACTAAATACTTTTTTGCCCCACTGTATATATATATATATATATACTGTATACTGTATATACACACACACACAATAAAAAAAAAACAACTAAAAAATAAATAAATTATATTAAATAAATGAATGGATAATAAACCAGCCGCCAAATAAAGTAAATATGTGTAAAAAAATAATAATACATTTATATATTCAAAGACTGATCCTCAATAAAGTCCATTAAATAAGGTCCATATAGAAAAGATGTGATCTTCAATCAATAAAGTTATGGAATCTTTCTCAAGTCCACCACCAATGTAAATACTCCAGTGCTCAACACCCCATCAAAGTGAAAACTTACCAGATACTGGTGATAAACCAGCATATCTTTAAACTCAGTAGATGTGAGAAGAATCCTCAGCATATCATTAGCAATCAGCAGATGATCCCAGTGATCTCCATCACAATGAACATAGGTCACATGTGAACAAAGTAGAAAACACTCTCCATAGCGTAATACCTTTTTTTTTTGATACCGTTTCAGAAGTTTTATTCTAACAAATACCCCCATAAAAACCGCACTCACATTGGGTAAGTGCAAAAAAAGCCTTTTATAATTAAAATCTTTCAGCCTGCAGCGCTTAGTACACCGCTTCCTACACACACAGTGGTGTCTCACCAGCCTGCAACAGATGAGGCGATTGTGGTCACGTGGTCCGGACACGTGATTATGGTGTGCATGATGACGTCACTGTTGGTTCACGCTCTGTCAGGAATGGACTGGTCAGCAATAGTGGGACTCAGCTGCCTTATGAGCTGCAGTACCAGGGCTGGCCAGCGGGTGCTCCCAGCAATCAGAGACTCAACCTTGCAGCCAGTCAAACACCTGGAACTAATTATACTGGTGTATTTAAGGGACATTCAGACCTGCAGACTCTGCCTTGGTGTTGTGTTTCTCTTGGGCCCTGTATCCTGTTCTTGCTCTCTGTTCCTGTCTGATTCTCTGCTGACCCTGCTCTGATCCCTGCTTGTCTGACCATTCTCCTCTGCCTGACCCTCTGTACCACGCTGCCCGCTACCTGCTGAACCTGGCCTGTGACCCCGACCATTCTCCGCTTGCTCCCCCTGTACCTACCTGCCCGACTGATATTGACCCGGCCTGCCTGACGACACTTGCATTGTATGTACTGTTATCTGGGGGTGGTTGGTTTGTTTGCACTGTGTTATGTTTTAGTATTGCACTGCGTTTATGTTTGTATGGTTAGTGTTAATAAATTACATTGTTTATAACATATCTGAAGTCTGCGTTTCCCTGCGTCAGTCACACACCTCTGGTCACACCCGGGAGCCCTGACATTACACCAAGGCCAATCCTGACCGGAAGTGGCTGCACAGGGAAGCCATCTTGGCTTGTTGATGGGAAGGATGGATCTGGATGAGGTTGCGTATTTATATCTGCTAGTGTTTGATGAGGACAGGGAGTATGCTTATCAAACTCTGAAGGAGTATACCCGGGATGAACTGCTAGAATGTATACGGCTCGCTCATGTTCTAGTAGATCAGGGCACAGAGTTCTCTGAGGTGCAGCCTTTGATTGAGGTTTGTGCTGAGTTGGTTTCATCTGGTACCCCCGAATGCAGGGATGAATTTTTGCCACCATTTAGTGCAGACCAGGTAGAGTCCCTGGTGTGGTTATTAGAGGATGATGTGGGTTACTTCTGGAGCGTTATTCTGCATGTTCACCACAGACACTAAGAGATTGTATAAACGCAGTGCAGTCATTGACCAGACAGGCTTTGTGTAAGCTGAGCTTTGTTCAACCCATACTGCAGACATGGACAGACTTGTTGCACCCAGCCTCAGTCAGCTTACAAAAACCCAGTCCTGCTTCTAATCTATTTTCCTCAAAACTCTATTCCTGCATTCCCAACAGCTCCTCCTGCCCTGCTATCTACCGCATGTCAGTACCCTGTTCCCACTCGCTGCACCTATCCTGCCTTTAACCCTGTAAAAAAGCCCTCTGTAGCAACTGCTCCCTCCCCTGTTCCATCCTCCAGTTCTCTGTCTCCAGCTGCTCCATTCGTTTGCAGACCTGCGTTTACTTGCAGTGCTCCAGTAGTTTAAAACCAGAAAAAAGCGAAAATTCTTTCCAACCAATACCATCCTGCCAGTATCCAAACCGGTGAACCTGCCTTCCGTGGTTCAGCCTGAAGCCTCTACTCGGCCTGAATCCTCTACTCGGCCTGATGCCTGTACTCGCCTGATGCCTGTACTCGGCCTGATGCCTCTACTCGGCCTGATGCCTCTACTCGGCCTGAAGCCTCTACTCGGCCTGATGCCTCTACTCGGCCTGATGCCTCTACTCGGCCTGAAGCCTCTACTCGGCCTGAAGCCTCTACTCAGCCTGAAGCCTCTACTCAGCCGGACGCCGGCATTCAGCCTGATGCTCTACCCAGCATGATGAACTGATCCAGCCTGACGATCCTATTAGGCCAGTTGACTCGATGCCCGCTGTTGATCCAGATGATCCGGTACCTGATCCGGTGCCCGCTGTCGTGCCAATGGACTCGGAGCCCGCTGTCGTACCTGGTGACTCGGTGCCCACTGCCTTGCCAGATGACGCGGTGCCAAATGACTGATGCCTTGACCCAGTGCCCGCTGATGACGCTGGTGCCCGCTGTCGAGCCAGACGATCCAATGCCTGGTGACCCGGTGCCCACTGCCTTGCCAGATGACGCGGTGCCCGCTGGCAAGCCAAATGGCCTGATGCTTGGTGACCCAGTGCCCGCTGTCATACCTGGTGACCCGATGCCCGCTGTCGAGCCAGACAATCCGGTACCTGATGACCCGGTGCCCACTGTCGTGCCTGTTGACTCGGAGCCCACTGCCTTGCCAGATGACGCGGTGCCCGCTGTCGAGCCAAATGACCTGATGCCTGGTGACCCGATGCCCGCTGTCCAGCCAGACGATTCAATGTCTGACCCAGTGCCCGCGGTCATGCCAGTTGACTCGGAGCCCACTGCCTTGCCAGATGACGCGGTGCTCGCTGTCGAGCCAAATGACTTGATGCCTGGTGACCCGATGCCCGCTGTCCAGTCAGACGATCCAATGTCTGACCCAGTGCCCGCGGTCATACCAGTTGACTCGGAGCCCACTGCCTTGCCAGATGACGCGGTGCCCGCTGTCGAGCCAAATGACCTGATGCCTGGTGACCCGATGCCCGCTGTCCAGCCAGACGATCCAATGTCTGACCCAGTGCCAGCGGTCATGCCAGTTGACTCGGAGCCCACTGTCTTGCCTGGACTCGCTCCCTGTCGCGTGCCAAGACCTGGTCGCTCCGCCTGGGGACTCCGGTGTAAGGGCGCCCGCCGTCCAGTCGCCCGCTGCTGACCTGTCGCTCCGCCTGGGGGCCCGAGACCTGTCGCTCCACCCCCCGGTCCGCCCGGCTGTCCGCCGTGCCTGAGGGTCCCGAGACCTGTCGCTCCACCTGGGGGGCGCCCGCCGCCTGAGGGCCCCGAGACCCGCCTGGGGGCGGCCCCGAGGGCCCGAGCGCGCTCCGCCTGGGGGGGTCCGGCGCCCGCCGCTGCCTGGGGGCCCGATGGTTGGCCCCGCCTGGGGGACCTGCCTTGCTCCGCCTGTGAAGGGCCCGAGAACCTGTCATATGACCACCTGGGGGTCCGGCGCCGCCGGCCAACCTCCCGACCTGCTAGGGCCCGAGACCTGTCGCGCTATGGCCACCTGGGGGTCCGGCGCCCGCCGCTCCGCCCTGAGGGCCCGAGACCTGTCGCTCCACCTGGGGAGTCCGGCGCCCGCCACTTCGCCTTGATGGGGCCCGAGACCTGTCGCCCGCCTGGGGGTCCGGCGACTCGATCCGCCGCTATATTCGCCTGGGGGCCCGATGCCTGTTGCCCCCGCTGGGGGCAGCCGATGCCTGTGCAGAACACTGCCTTAATTTTAGGGGCCCGATGCCTGTTGCCCTGCACATAATACTATAATACTCGGCATTGTGGGAGGTGAGAGATAAAACATTTGATGTGTGAATGAGCATGCATATGGACCACCAGCTCCCTACCGTGCTATGGCCAACAGAGCTCCCGACCGTGCTATGGCCAACAGAGCTCCCGACCGTGCTATGGCCAACAGAGCTCCCGACCGTGCTATGGCCAAAAGAGCTCCCGACCGTGCTATGGCCAAAAAGATGGCTACTAGAGATGAGCGAATTATTCAAAAATTCGATTCGGCTGATTCGGCGAATTCGCGAAATAAATTCGATTCGAGTCGAATATTATTCGCTGCGAATTTAACTTATAAAAAGGGTGTTTCTAGGCTTCAGAGAGCCTTTATATTAGTGCAGAACACTGTACCTTTAATTTAAATGCCCTTGGAGTCTGCTGGGGAAGAGAAATAATACTGTCAGTCAGTATGACATGCAGATGAGTGCCGTCGATCTTAGAATCACCGCACACTTCACTCATTTGGGCAGTCACGGGGGCCAAAACCAGAGTGTGGAGCCACAGTGTGGCGGTGGAGGCAGCAGCAATGGGAGGCCATACAGCACCCTATGACAAAATGGAACCCACCAGCAGTGTGAGGAGACCTGAAAGTGGCACATGGCAGAGTGTGGCGATGGAGACAGCAGCAATGGGAGGCCGTACAGGGACCCATGACACACTCTGGACCTGGCAGCAGCATGAGGAGGCGGTACAGGGGCCCATGACAGATTATGGGCCTGGCAGCAGCATGAGGAGTCGGTACGGGGGCCCATGGCAGATTACGGGCCTGGCAGCAGCAATGGGAGGCCATACAGCACCCTATGACAAAATGGAACCCACCAGCAGTGTGAGGAGACCTGAAAAGTGGCACATGGCAGAGTGTGGCGATGGAGACAGCAGCAATGGGAGGCCGTACAGGGACCCATGACACACTCTGGACCTGGCAGCAGCATGAGGAGGCGGTACAGGGGCCCATGACAGATTACGGGCCTGGCAGCAGCATGAGGAGTCGGTACGGGGGCCCATGGCAGATTACGGGCCTGGCAGCAGCAATGGGAGGCCATACAGCACCCTATGACAAAATGGAACCCACCAGCAGTGTGAGGAGACCTGAAAGTGGCACATGGCAGAGTGTGGCGATGGAGACAGCAGCAATGGGAGGCCGTACAGGGACCCATGACACACTCTGGATCTGGCAGCAGCATGAGGAGGCGGCACAGGGGCCCATGACAGATTACGGGCCTGGCAGCAGCATGAGGAGTCGGTACGGGGGCCCATGGCAGATTACGGGCCTGGCAGCAGCAATGGGAGGCCATACAGCACCTTATGACAAAATGGAACCACCAGCAGTGTGAGGAGACCTGAAAGTGGCACATGGCAGAGTGTGGCGATGGAGACAGCAGCAATGGGAGGCCGTACAGGGACCCATGACACACTCTGGACCTGGCAGCAGCATGAGGAGGCGGTACAGGGGCCCATGACAGATTATGGGCCTGGCAGCAGCATGAGGAGTCGGTACGGGGGCCCATGGCAGATTACGGGCCTGGCAGCAGCAATGGGAGGCCATACAGCACCCTATGACAAAATGGAACCCACCAGCAGTGTGAGGAGACCTGAAAGTGGCACATGGCAGAGTGTGGCGATGGAGACAGCAGCAATGGGAGGCCGTACAGGGACCCATGACACACTCTGGACCTGGCAGCAGCATGAGGAGGCGGTACAGGGGCCCATGACAGATTACGGGCCTGGCAGCAGCATGAGGAGTCGGTACGGGGGCCCATGGCAGATTACGGGCCTGGCAGCAGCAATGGGAGGCCATACAGCACCCTATGACAAAATGGAACCCACCAGCAGTGTGAGGAGACCTGAAAGTGGCACATGGCAGAGTGTGGCGATGGAGACAGCAGCAATGGGAGGCCGTACAGGGACCCATGACACACTCTGGACCTGGCAGCAGCATGAGGAGGCGGTACAGGGGCCCATGACAGATTACGGGCCTGGCAGCAGCATGAGGAGTTGGTACGGGGGCCCATGGCAGATTACGGGCCTGGCAGCAGCAATGGGAGGCCGTACAGGGACCCATGACACACTCTGGACCTGGCAGCAGCATGAGGAGGCGGTACAGGGGGCCCATGACAGATTACGGGCCTGGCAGCAGCATGAGGAGTCGGTACGGGGGCCCATGGCAGATTACGGGCCTGGCAGCAGCAATGGGAGGCCCGTAATCTGCCAGCACCCTATGACAAAATGGAACCCACCAGCAGTGTGAGGAGACCTGAAAGTGGCACATGGCAGAGTGTGGCGATGGAGACAGCAGCAATGGGAGGCCGTACAGGGACCCATGACACACTCTGGACCTGGCAGCAGCATGAGGAGGCGGTACAGGGGCCCATGACAGATTACGGGCCTGGCAGCAGCAGCATGAGGAGTCGGTACGGGAGCCCATGGCAGATTACGGGCCTGGCAGCAGTAATGGGAGGCCCGTAATCTGCCAGCACCCTATGACAAAATGGAACCCACCAGCAGTGTGAGGAGACCTGAAAGTGGCACATGGCAGAGTGTGGCGATGGAGACAGCAGCAATGGGAGGCCGTACAGGGACCCATGACACACTCTGGACCTGGCAGCAGCAAGAGGAGGCGGTACAGGGGCCCATTGTTCTGTCCCCACATGAAGGCGAATGAAGGTATAACTGATAATGGCTGTGTAACTTCCTACCTTCGTATCCAAGCAGTGGAGCAGACCGGACCGGCAGATGCTCAGGTTAGACGGATCCAAACGTATACACGGAAATGAAATCAGCGTGGGTTTATTTGATCCAAATACAGCGACAAACAGTGATACAATACTGTAAGGTAGTAGAGGTATTGATGCTATCCTGTGATATCTTTCCTGAGGCTAACTGCTGGTCAAAAACTGATGCCTTCACAAGCCCAGGGTATTGAATGTCCTGTCACACAGCTATATAGCAGATAAAATGGCTGCAGAAGTGACAAGAACCAAGGCTTGCCTAAAACCACACCCAGCAGAGAAAACACTTACTAGCTATAACAAAGGCATGCAGCATGCAAATTCTGGCCAGCAGATGGCAGCAACAGATCAAGACATAGAAACAAACATGGTGAAATAAGAATTGGTGATACAATGCACAGTTAAATAACAAATATGAGGGGAACAGCACACTCCCCGTCTGAAATTCCATAAGGGATTTCACTATGACGAATGTCTATAAAATATAAAACAACCTGTAACAAAGAACATGTTAGAATGCAATAAACATAACAATATAGTAGATTCCGAGTTGGAATAGAGAAGAACCACAAAGTTCAAGTTCAGTAGAGTTCACCCAGCAGGAATGTTCTCGATGGGTAGTATCAAAATGAGTTCGTTAATTGGCCTTGCGAACATTTTAAGCTCACCCTTTCTGAAGATCTTCAACTCCACTTTACGGACCTTGCCATCCTTGCTAGGAAGAACCTTTGTAATTAGTCCCATAGGCCAGTCAATCCGTACGGTATGTTGCTCCTTCATCAACACGAGGTCATCTTCTTTTAGGTTTGGTTTGTGGTGTTGCCACTTTCTTCTTCCTTGAAGAATATTGAGATACTCCTTTCGCCACCTTTTCCAGAAGTAATCAGCTAGGTATTGTACACGTTTCCAGTGTTTTTGGTAGATATTCGCATGAGTAAATTCTCCACTAGGCATTAGCGTAATTTCAGTTTTTTGGGTAAGTAGGATAGCTGGAGTCAGTACGGCTGTGTTTCAGGATCCATAGATACTGGCACGAGGGGTCTAGAATTGATGATAGCTGAAACTTCAGCGAGAAGGGTGACTAGAGTCTCATGTGTGAGTCTTGAAGAGTTTACATCCATCAACATAGAATTCAAGATGTTGCGTGAGATCCTGATCATTCTCTCCCAGGAGCCCCCCATGTGGGAACTATGAGGAGGATTGAAAATCCAGGTGCAACCCTTTTCCGCCAAGTGATCTTGAATGAATTTGGTGTCTATGTTCAGTTCTCTACAGGCTCCAATGAAGTTGCTTCCACAGTCAGACCTCAACTGTTTCACTGGTCCTCTGATTGCGAAGAACCGTCTTTAAGGCATTAATAAGGCTGGATGTGTCCATGGATTCTATGACCTCTAAGTGAACGGCTCGCACACTCATGCAAGTAAATAGTACAGCCCAACGCTTACTGTTTGCGTGACCGCCACGGGTCCTGCGTGCAGACACCATCCATGGCCCAAGGACATCTAGGCCAACGTAGGTGAAAGGCGGCCCTGTACATAGTCTGTCCGCAGGCAAATCAGCCATTTGTTGGTGTAGTTGTTTTCCTCTAGCTTTGCGACAGTGAACACAGTCATGCAATACTTGGGCCACACGTCTTTTCATACCTATAATCCAAAGGCCAGCAGACCGTAACTTGCCCTCAGTGATTTGCCTGCCCTGGTGTTCAGTCTTTTTGTGGTAGTGTCGGATCAGCAAGACGGTGATATGATGTTTGCTGGGAATGATGAGAGGATTTTGTTCTGCAACTCTTAGGTGGGCTTGATTCAAACGACCACCAACTCTGAGCAAGCCAAAACTGTCAATAACTGGATTTAAGTTGGCAAGAGGGCTTTTTATTGGAATCTGCTGTTTGTTGTACAAGCACTTCCATTCTATATTGAATTCCCCTTGTTGGACGTGACGTATTATGAGGGACTCACTATGAGAGATGTTCTCTCCGCAGAGAAGGGTTTATGGCAGACGTGCCAACCGTGACAATCCTTATCTTTGTGAGTATTGTGATAACATTTTGCAATGTGCACTAACCTTGCGATAGTCCTGACGAGTCTCATCCAACTGGAGAAACGTTCAAAGCGCTGGCTACCGAGGCTGGAGTTTTGCTTTGTTCCAGTGACCAATACACTGACTTCAGCGCGGATTTCTGGATCATTATCCGGATCCT